CATATATATATATTATAAACACATACATCGATATCATATATATATATATATATATTTCTATATATATATTTCTATATATATATTTCTATATATATATTTCTATATATATAGATAGATATATAAATATATAAATAAATCTATCTATCTATCTATATATCTATATATCTATATCTATATCTATATATCTATTTATATACATATGTATATATGTATATATATATATACATATATATGTGTATATGTATATATGTGTATATGTATATATGTTTATATGTAAATATGTATATGTATATATGTATATGGAAGGGGAACAATGAAACTAGCACTCTCATCTCAACCCACCTGTAAGCTGCTAAATGGGCATAGTATGCTGGTGCAGGGATTGACACAGATCTTGTACAGCGGAAGTAGATATGACACAGGGCATATGACATTGACTGCAGCTGATCCATCGTCATGTCATTATCATCCCACAGAACACGATAATGTGTAGGTTTGCTTGTTCCAAGGATTCCCTTGAGTTAGAGAGACAAAAATACTTTTGAATGTAAATGCCCAGGACTTTCAAATAATTTTTGACTTTTTATCACCTTATGAATATGATTTCTTTCTGTACCTAATGTAAAATCTAGTTACTGCTTCATAAAAACAATATGAGAAATTTGTAGTTATAACAATGCTTTTGCAGTGTCTAAGGAAATGGAAAAATTAATAAAGAGGAGGAGGAGGAGGAGGAGGAGGAGGAGGAGGAGGAGGAGGAGGAGGAGGAAGTGGAAGAGGAGGAGGAGGAAGTGGAAGAGGAGGAGGAAGTGGAAGAGGAGGAGGAGGTGGAAGAGGAGGAGGAGGTGGAAGAGGAGGAGGAGGTGGAAGAGGAGGAGGAGGTGGAAGAGGAGGAGGAGGTGGAAGAGGAGGAGCAGGTGGAAGGAGGAGGAGGAGGTGGAAGAGGAGGAGGAGGAGGTGGAAGAGGAGGAGGTGGAAGAGGAGGAGGAGGAGGAGGTGGAAGAGGAGGAGGAGGAGGAGGAGGAGGAGGAAGAGGAGGAGGAGGAGGAGGAGGTGGAAGAGGAGGAGGAGGAGGAGGTGGAAGAGGAGGAGGAGGAGGTGGAAGAGGAGGAGGAGGAGGGGGTGGAAGAGGAGGAGGAGGAGGAGGTGGAAGAGGAGGAGGAGGAGGTGGAAGAGGAGGAGGAGGTGGAAGAGGAGGAGGAGGAGGAGGTGGAAGAGGAGGAGGAGGAGGAGGAGGAGGTGGAAGAGGAGGAGGAGGAGGAGGAGGTGGAAGAGGAGGAGGAGGAGGAGGTGGATGAGGAGGAGGAGGAGGAGGTGGAAGAGGAGGAGGAGGAGGTGGAAGAGGAGGAGGAGGTGGAAGAGGAGGAGGAGGAGGAGGTGGAAGAGGAGGAGGAGGAGGAGGAGGAAGAGGAGGAGGAGGAGGAGGAGGTGGAAGAGGAGGAGGAGGAGGAGGAGGTGGTGGAAGAGGAGGAGGAGGTGGAAGAGGAGGAGGAGGTGGAAGAGGAGGAGGAAGAGGTGGAAGAGGAGGAGGAGGAGGAGATGGAAGAGGAGGAAGAGGAAGAGGAGGAGGAGGTGGAAGAGGAGGAGGAGGTGGAAGAGGAGGAGGAGGAGGAGGAGGTGGAAGAGGAGGAGGAGGAGGTGGAAGAGAAGGAGGAGGAGGTGGAAGAGGTAGAGGAGGTGGAAGAGGTAGAGGAGGTGGAAGAGGAGGAGGAGGTGGAAGAGGAGGAGGTGGTGGAAGAGGAGAAGGAGGTGGAAGAGGAGGAGAAGGAGGTGGAAGAGGAGGAGAAGGAGGTGGAAGAGGAGGAGGAGGTGGAAGAGGGGGAGGAGGTGGAAGAGGGGGAGGAGGTGGAAGAGGGGGAGGAGGTGGAAGAGGGGGAGGAGGTGGAAGAGGGGGAGGAGGTGGAAGAGGAGGAGGAGGTGGAAGAGGAGGAGGAGGTGGAAGAGGGGGGAGGAGGTGGAAGAGGTGGAGGAGGAGATAGAAGGAGGAGGAGGAGAAAAAGGAGGAGGAGGAGGAGGAGAAAGAGGAGGAGGAAGATTTAACAAAGGTGGAAGAGGATGATGAAGAGGTGGAGGAGAGGGATAAATATGAGATGGAGGAGGATGAAGAAGAGGAGGAAGAAGAGAATGATAAAGTAGAGGAAAGTGGAGAAAGTCGAGGAGAATAAAGAGGAAGAGGTGGAGGAGGATAAAGAAGAAAAGGTGAAGGAGGATGAGGAAGAAATATATATATATATATAAATAAGGATGAGGAAAGTGAAGAGGAAGACAAAGAGATAAAAAAAAAGAGGTTGAGAAAAAGTATAAAGAATAGGTTGAAAAAAGGAAGATAAATAGCAAAAGACAGGATAAAGAAGAGATGGATGAGAACAAAGAATAATAATGAAGAAGACAAGGGTAAAACACAAGTTAATCGTCAGAAAATTATCCTTACTGCTCAGCATCAGAATATTGGTGTACTTAATTATATGCAGAGATGAATCTAATAGAAATGCAGCCAAATAAACTGTTACCTAACCTGATGAGAACACAGGTAAAAGTCAATTTCGCTTGGGTGAGTGATAACCTGGTCGACGATGGTGCCTGGAGGAACATTTCTGGATTTGCCAACTCCATCTGTGCTATCACAAAACAACCTGAAATAGATTCTGCTTTTCAAAATTCACCGGTAAGACAGGTAAAATGCGTGTACGTGTCAACAACAAATCTCCCTGAAAAAAAAAATAATAATAATAATAAAAATAAATAAATAAATAAATAAATAAATAATAAAACAAGAATATAAAAATAAAAAAATAAAAAAATATAAGAAAATAAAAAATAATAAAAAAATAATAAGAAAATAAAAAAATAGGTTATGGGTGTGGACATGGACATGGGTGTGGGTGAGGTTGTTTAAGGGTGGGTATGGGGGCTGCAGGGCTTCAGGTGGGGTAGGGGTGGGGGTGTAGGATTGGGGTGTAGGAATAGGGATAGAGGTGGGGGTGGAGTGAGGATGGGGATGTGGTAGTGGTAGGGGTAGGGGTAGGGGTAGGGGTAGGGGTAGGGGTAGGGGTAGGTGTGGGGGTGGGGTGGGGCTGGGGCTGGGGCTGGGGGTAGGTGTGGGGCTGGGGCTGGGGCTGGGGGGTGGGGGTAGGTGTGGGGGTTGGGTGGGGCTGGGGCTGGGGCTGGGGGTGGGGGTGAGGATGGGGTAGGGGTGGGGGTGGGATAGGGGTAGGGGTGTAAGATTAAGGGGTAGGGGTGGGGTGAGGAGAGGACACACAGATGGCTCCACAAGCGCAAAGCTACACTACTATACTACTCAAATAGTATACACATGTGACTTACACTGATTTCCTTTTTCCCAGTTTTTTTTTTTTTTTTTTTTTTTTTTTTTTTTTTTTTTTTTTTTTTTTTTTTTAAGCATATCTACAATGGTATTAATATTGATGCTGTTATTATTATTACTGACATTATAGTCATAAGTATTAATGATTATGCTAATTGCAATATCAGGCATAAGAGAATATTTCCAAAAAGGGTAAACTCAAAATAGACATGGCATGTACATAACATGCCATAACTGGTGGCACTGGGTTAAGGGGAAAAATAACTGGCAAAAACAAAGAAAAAAGTAAAAAGTAGGATAAAAAATAAATATTGAAAAAGTTTTATGCTTATCAGTACTGAATGAAAATTCTGTATTTCAAAAGGACAACTAGATGTGAGTTAAATGGTGTGTCAGGATCATGAAGCATAAAATGTAATACAAGTCACATTTTCTGTCTAATCCCTCATACAACCTATCCCTTTATAATACTATAACTGTATAAATCCTTCTCTTTCTAAATGAATCATCAAATTTTTCTTTAATGAGTGCTAATGTTACATAGTTATTTTACAAAATTTCTCACTTTACCTGGTATGATGCCTCTTCTGCACAACAATGAAGGTAATGCCAGGTTTATAGTCACCTTGCAATGATTTGCAAGCATCACGCATTGCATTAAGCTCATATGCCAGTACTGTGTAAAATTGAGACTCACTCACACCATCACGATACATTATGAGTCTTTCTGGCTTCCTCTTAGTTTTTCTATAGAAAGCAAGAAGAAGGTTCCTGAAAGACAAAAATCCTATCAATTTCTTCACTGTATCAAGTTGAAACTGTAAAGAAAAATATTACAAATCTTAAAAACTAAAAAAAGAAAAGAAAAAGAGTATCCATATGTACATAGGCATAGGCATGTATATTTATGTGTATAGTAATACATGTTTGTGCATACTGCTTATATGAATGTATGTACATGTACATACATACATATATGTATACATATAAACATATACAGAAACACACACAACATTCTATATTATATTTAAAGTAATATATGTGTATGTACTGCTTATATATATGTATGTACATATGTACATATGTACGTATGTATGTATGTATGTATGTATGTATGTATGTATGCTTACATACACAAACATGCACTCAAGCACGCACACAAACATACACGAATGCACACACAAACACAAGCACGAACACATGCACAAACACACACACGTGCACGCGCTCCCAGACACAGACACAGACACACACGAACTACCTTGTCATTTCCTTCAGATCTTGTATTATTTCTCTGCAGGAAAGCTGCTGCCTCACTTGTACTGCATAATTGGAGCCAAAGCAATCCATTGATCCTACAACAGCAGCTAGAGAGGGAGTCCCATTCCTCTCATCAGCTGGTGGGTGGTTGACATCAGCTCCCATTATCATCACTGGACTGGTGAGTATCTTTAAAATGGAATATTAAATACAAATAATAATAATATTAATAATAATAATAATAATAATAATAATAATAATAATAATAATAATAATAATAATAATAATAACAACAACAATAATAATAACAATAATAATAATAATAATAATAATAATCAGAGAGTAGAGAGTAGAGAGTAGAGCAGAAAGTAGGGCAGAGAGTAGAGAGTAGAGAGTAGAGAGGAAAGCAGAGAGT